TATCGCCTCCCACTGCGGTTATCCTACCAACATCGGTTCCTGTTCAGCATCGACGATTGGACATGACACGACTGGCCCTCCATCCAACGCTCCCCACTGATCTCAAGCGCTTATAACAGTCGTCAACTGATCCTCAGCCCGTCTTCTATGTACACAATATTCTTTCAGCACCTTACGCACTGAAATGAATTTACGTTTACAAAAACCGAACCTATATTACAACTGAAAACCGGAAATTATAACACTAAACTAGCTGCAGAGCTGTAGCTCTCTGCTTGAGAAAATTCGGACAGACAAAGCAGAGAGCTACAGATCCAAGCGTTGTAAAAACCTTCGATTTACGCCGCCGCTTTTTTGTCGCTCGCTTCGGCTATTATTTCTTGTATTTAATGCTTTCCCCTGCTTTAAAAGTGGTATCCAATAATTATCCATATATTTTAATCCTATTCCTGATACTTTATTTACCTTTCAACAGTCTCAAACAGCCCTATGTAATGGATAAATAACGAGATGGTGTTGAATAGTTTAGAGAAAACGTTCCCTCCGAGGGCCGAAGGCCCGAGGAGGGGATGTTTTCTCTAAACTATTCAACACTATCGAGTTATTTATCTTTCTTAAAAAACTTCCCCACTTTGGACCCCAAAGAAACATTTACCCATTTATATATCCAACTTTGCTGTAATACAATGGGATCTAGCCCATTCAGATATCCAACAGTGACACAATACAATAGCCTAATCGAACACCCATTTTATTCATGGACTAGTGAGCATGAAACCGCATGGTGCTAATGTCATTTCAAACCTTTCCATTGTTCTGAACAGTCATGGAATCAGAGGAAGAATGGTTTTAAATCCAATGTAAATTTAGAGAGGTTCAGATAGTGTTTTGAACACTTTTGTCCTGAAAGCAGAAGAAAACTACAAAATTTTGATAAAATGTTGGAAATCTATCATTACATGTCAGATGATGATTTGTTGGGGAAAAGTGTTGGAATCTTACGGAGCTCCATTCGGACAATACTTCTAGTAGTGCTATAACAGATGAAAAGATTGTTGGTTTTATGCGGAACCTGCTTTAAAAATATTCCATATCAAGATTTACAATAAAAAGAGTGACAAAAAATAGATGGGGTGTCAATTTATTACATTGTTTTGGGAAGTACGCTGGAAAAGTATGAGAACAGAGACGAACCTCGAAAAATCTGAGAGGATTTGCTTATAACGCACCCCTAAAATAATATTCAGCAACAGGAAGTGATGTGGATTAAGGTTCAAGGTGAAAATGTATTCATAAGCATGTCAAAAAGTGATGCTTTCAAAATTTAAGACCGGAAACATTCTGTTAAAATACCATCGGATAACTATTGGATATTTTATTGACGACAAGTGTTAGTAGTGTGCAAAATTCTAATGGTGTGAAAAAAGTGATTAAAATTCCGTGTGCATTAGACATAAATTCTAAAAGTGTGACAAATTCTAAGTAATTGTTTTTTCATGTACATTGGAAATACATTTTCAACTCTTTTATCTCTTTTGTTCATTGCTTAATTATATTTGTATGCACAGTTGGATATTTAAATATCCAATCGATAGGCAGTTGGATATTTGAATATCCAACTGATGGCCAGTTGGATCTTTAAATATCCAACTAGTGATGGTTGAATCGGTAAAATATAAGTAGACCAGTAACAATGGTGACGTCATTGAAGTTTTTAAATGGTTTTGAAATGTCAGTTTAAAAAATTCCAATTCCGATGTCCATGTTATTGGGTGTTGTGCGAAAAGAAGTAATGCAAAGAACATATACTTGTCAAGAAAATGTAAATAAAAATTTCAGGAGGTTTAAATATCATGTATATTGTCTCTAAAGATTAGAATACAACATGTATGTAAAAAAGAAATGAGATAAATAAAACTCGGGCGTGTTGTTTTAGGATGTCACCAACGTCGACGTCGGAATGCATTTTTTAAATATTTCAAAACCACATACGGCCGTCTGGATCATTACTGTATCTTGGAAGAACATATAATACTGTATGAACTAATTGCATAATTTTTTACTATAATGGTCTACATAAAATAAATGCAAGCATCGATGAAAATGTAGCCATTTTGTCACAGGTACCAAAAACATAATTTAATACACAACGTATAGCATGTATATACGTATGGCTTCGATAGAGTCAAATTATCATCTCCCTATATATGATCATTTCCCTATTGTCAACACGCATGCGGACGCTAGAAATAGAAAACATGGAATGATCTAAAGCGGAATAACGTTTAAAACGTTTTATTTACATTTGCAAATGTTTTCCTTTATAAAACATTATTTGAGCAAGGCATATTAAAGACTGTGTATAAACATGTTCGTCACCTGACCATAAATTCATTGTTTAGTCATAAACGATCGACGTTATTTCATAGTGACGTCATAAGTGGCCGACATATTCAACATATTTAAGGTAGGTCGAGGGTTTGCTTTTTTCATCAATTTTGGTACACAATTTCGACGATTCGAGCGGTTGTTTTGTGCACATTTGATTATGACGTCATTTACGTCACAAAGGCGACGTTGCGTTGTTTCCTGAATAATTCTCTGGAAATAACTTCATAAATAGTCTACAGGTACGAATCAAGTAGATTAATTCAAAGTGCATGCTATTAACCTCGTACGTGTATGAACCAAGATCGGGTATTATTAAATGAAAGTCTGAATTCTGATGTGATTACGTGTAATGTCTTAGAACAAACTAAAAACGATACCAAATGAAAGGAATAATTTATATTGTAAGTGTTACTTAACTGCTTAAAGTCAATAAAAATGAGTCAGCGTAAAAGTTATGGTATGCAAAAAGAAAAATATCGTAAATTTCTTAATATCCAAAAACTTGAAGGGTTGTATGTGCGCAAGTAATTTGCACCTCATAGGGACGTGCGTATTACACTATGTTTGCCGGGGCGAAACGTTTACAGGATGGATCGATCCTCAACACTAAAAACGGATGAAATTTAATTACAGTACATGTATTTTCCTGTTATTTATTATTATTATTTCAATCATCATAATTATTATTTGTTTATTTTGTATTTGAATCTCGTGTAGTCGCTATGTATATGCAGGTTAACAAATTGTGAAATGCATTTAAAAAATAAATTTTAACAAACACTCGGACTATCAGACCTATATAACACTGTAAACAATTTACAATTATCAAGTACATTTTTTCTATATAAGAAAATATCTGTGTATAAGCTAAATGCAAGTGTTTTATATTTTGCGTATGGAAATTTGATTGAGAGCTCGAGAATTCGAAATTAAGTAATGTTTGAGAGTTAGGGCTATATACCAGCTTGCACCTAATATAGAAAGAACATTGCCGGTAATCCCCCCCCCCCCTCATTTTTCTCAGTATTGAGATGTTTTTTCTTCATCGTTTATCGAATGAAGTGATCAAATTCATGTGTTATGCCTGAAATCTTACTGAACATGAACATCCTAAAAATACATGAATTAATATTTTATCACTCGCCGTGTTGTCGCTGCATGTTAATTCCAATACACGAAAAATGTTTAATATACCGTTCATTCTGACTTTGTGGGTAGAATATGAATTTCACAATACTAGTGTAAATAAGTTTCTGGTCATCCTAACATATTTCTGCAATAAGTAAAATGATGAATAAAATTACATTTTGCAACTATATTACCTTTTAGATCTTGCATATTCCCAATGTAAAGATATTTATACTTGTATGTAAACGTGATTACGTTCAACGCATGACGTTGTAGTCATAAATAACGCCATAAACGCAACATTTTGGCAATATAAAAGCAAACTTTGAAATTATTTAGCAAAAAAACTAGCGAGAAGACATATTGATTTTTTTTATCTCAATAGTTTTTATTTTACCTCCTCTGAATATTTTGAAATTCCTGACTAATTCGTCTACGTATTTAAAAAGTTATCTAACCTTTTTTAAAGAAACTCTTTCGGCAAAATTGGCTTAAAAACGTCATTTTTCTATATATTTTCAATAGTAAAGCGTAAAAATAGTATTAAAAACTATACCGCATTTACAGTAATACAGCATTAAAACTACATAGACAAATTTAATAAAAATTACAGATAAAATGCTATAGATTCTAAGGAATATTATATAAAATTTTCAGGATGTGTTTTCTCGTAAGAATTTTTAAGCAGTAAACCCGCGACCTACCTTAATTTAAACCGTTAAAGTTTGCAAAAAAAAAAAAAAAAAAAAAAAAAAAAAAAAATCATGCTTTTAAAACTATAGTACCCAAATATTTGTTTAAAAAAAAAAAAGAATCAGTCACAGATGTATATTTTAGGAATAAATTTTTTGGTACGTGATCAAATTTACCATAAAGTACAAAGGGCTTTATGGTAGATTTGATCACATGATTTGACCACATTGGTAATTTGATCACATGACCAACCCGTATTTACATCCCAATAAAAGTTTTAAAATGATACCTTATTTCTTATATAACAAAGTTATGATTTTAATAACGTTATTTTGACGTAACGTCAATGTGTACCAACACCGTGCGTAATGTCACTGGAAGATTATGCTAGGCGATGGGCCAAATATAAAAAAAGAAGACCTTGACACTTTGTCAGAATAGATTATAAGTATAAGATAGATGGATATTATAATCTCGCATTAAGCGATTTAGGGGCAATATATAAGCCTTTCAACTAATTTTTCAAGTTGCACACATTGTATAAAACATATGATAGATAGATTTATAGATATGTGAAGTTCTCCAAAAGAGTATAATCTATACATTTATTTAATTAAATACATAAGAAATTAAATTATCATTAATTGATAATTACGAATGTTAAAATGTCAGATTTCAGAACCTTGTATCACGTATCATCTAAAATTTCTTATTGTTATCTCTGGCTTACATAAAAATACTTGTGTTTATTGGCTTTTTCAGTCATTTCTTTGCCCTTTCTTCTACAGATGAAGAGCCTGGAGACAACACAACTACTTATGGGACTATTGCAGTAACATGTGGTGCAACCATCATATTTACAATTTTGATTTGCTTGAGTAAGTTGTAACTTTTGAATTCTTCCATAATTGAAGAAAAAATTGCATAAAATCTGCGTGACCCTAAGAATAAAAATTCCACATTTCAAATGCATAAATAAGGTCCCAAATAATCAGATCTAATCAGGGATGATTGCATCAATTATTAATTAAAAGATTATGCAAATGTGATTTTATGTATAATTTTAACTTTGATTAGGCATTATATGATTTCTTTCTTGAATTACATATTTTAGTTAATGAAGTGAGTTTTAGAAAAACATACTTTTCTACTGAAATAAACAGCAGATAAAAAAATGCGTTTATGAAACACTAATGCCCCCGTGTGGCAACTTATAGCGAAGGTTAAACTTTCTTAAACGCAAATCAAATATGCTGGTACCCAAAGTAAGGTCTTGTACCGAGGAATATACCTGTGAAATGTGAAAGCACTAGCAGCAACCATTGAAAAGATATGGAAAAGTAGAAGTTTTTCAAAAGTAAGTCAAACATCAAGGTCAAGGTCAAATGGTCAAAATTAATAGCACCCAAGGAAAGGCCTTCTCACAAGAAATACACTTGTCAAGTGAAATATGAAAGCCCTAGCACCAACCGTTTAAGAGATATGGCCAAGATTAAAGTTTTTCAAAAGTAGGTCAAACTCTAAGGTCAAGGTCAATGGGCTATAATTGTTGGTATCTAAAGGAAGGGCTTGTCACAAGGATTACACATGTGAAGAATGAAAGCCAAAGAACCAACTGTTCAAAAGTTATGGCAAAGTTTAAAGTTTTTCAAAAGTATGTCAAACTCCAAGGTCAAGGCCAAATGGTCAAAGTTGTTGGTATCCAAAGGAAGGTCTTGTCACAAGGATTACACATGGGAAGTATGAAAGCCCTAGTACCAACCGTTCAAAAGTTATGGCCAAGGTTAAAGTTGGGTAAAATTTTGTAAAACTGGGTTAAACTCCAAGGTCAAGGTCAAAAAGTCAAATATGATGGTACCCAAAGAAAGGTCTTGTCACAAAGAATACACATGTGAAATATGAAAGCCATAGCTCTAACCAATCAAAAGTTATGGGCAATGTTAAAGATTTTGCGGACAAACAGACAGACAGACAGACGGACGGACAGGGCAAAGACTATATACCCCGAATCTTCGATACGGGGGCATAAAAATATAAGCTACAGATTTGCACTTTAGTTTGTACGAAGATACGTGTAGAATTTCATCATTAGCAAATGTGATGACGTAATGCACAGATCTAGACTTCCAGGGAAAACCCTGCTACACGTACTAGTATATGTACACTTTGGCTTGCAAAACTTCTCTTTTATGTTTATGCTGTCTTTATTATAAAACTTAAAATTGTAATTATCTTTCCAATAGTAAAGTTTTCCACCTTTTTTCCAGCATACCGTTTATGGAGAAATAAATGTGAGTGGCAATTTTCCTCAATCACTAATATTGCATAACATTTAGTACTAAAAATTAAGATGGTCTTTGTAAAATCAAATTATTCCCATTTAAATTTTTAGACAAATAATTATATAAAATCAATTTTAACTTATTTTTTTTCCTCTTGTATATATACTCTTATGCTGATTTTGATATCTGTAGATGATATGTACTGCAGACCAGGACATGCCAATAAATGTAAGTCCTAATTCATTTCCTTAGTATCTTTCTATTTATCGGGACGAGTCGTTCATAAGGGTATCGAGACAAATGGTATTACCCATTTTTAAGATTGTGCCATATTTAATCGAACAAAACAACCGTTCCTAGAACTTTTTTCATTGTACCATTGAATTTTGTGCTTTTACATCTTTGAGGGTCATTCAAACTTTTCGTGGACTGTTGTCTTAACTTTTTTATTTAATATTATGAACAATATTGGTATACATATCTTAACAATAAATTTGATACTAGTAATTTGAATTTGAAAAAAAATGAATATAGCATGATATTTATTACAATTATCTTAAATTTAAGACAGCGAAAATGAAGGAGTCAAGGAGCACGTTCAAATGAAAAGAGAAATTTACTAACAACTCTTTATAGTGCCTATAGTCGAACATCTAATAAACAGGACTCGCCGAAATATGGCTGAAATATTGCCGACTCGGCGTTAAACAATAATAATCAATAATCAATCATCTAATAAAAAGGCGCTCAAAGGAAATAAAGTTTAAATGTTCAAATTTAGTATCATGTAATTTCAGATACCAAATTGTAATGTAATACATTTCTTCGTTTAAAAGAAAACAATTTCTAAAGGCAGTTAGACCTTATTAAAAAGGGGGAATGACGTCGAAGGACGTCACGGAGCAGCCAGTAGCGATGAAATATTACTTTGCACTCTGGAAACCTCTAAAGAAGAGACTCTGAAAATGCTGGAGGAACCGGTAAATATATCAGAATGAGGCATGCTTTTGTCCATAAATGGAAAAGACAGTTTTTGAGTGGTAGAGACTTAGAATCGGAAGATCGATGATCTAAGAAGAAACAAATTATAGTTTTAAACAAATCTGTTCAAAAGAGTAGTAACGTTATGGAAAGTGATGTGCGCTTCCGCTGTTGTGGAACTTGTGAAAGCAAAGTTATTTGGTAAAGAAAAATATGAAAACACTGACAAACTAACAAAGTTTCTTGAACAGTTGTTAGCAAACGAGGTGTCACGCGTTATGGATACATTTTTATGAATGGATAAGTCGTTACACATCGAATATGAAATGAAAGGGCAGAGTAATTTTGAGAAACTTTCTTGACGTTGTTTTTGACGTTACAATGTTGTTAACCGTGGTCCGTGATTTTAAAATTGAGTAACTTGAGTTCTATTAAATCAAATGGAATGAAACTTCACGCATAGACATAATGTTTTTACATACGAAGATATATTGATCTTAAATCTTGTAAAAATAATATGATAAAGAGGTATGTTTCTATGTATTTTTAATGTCCCTCAAGTATAGATAAAATAGAAATTTAGACAAAGTTATTTCTCGTTTGTCACTTTAAACAATTAAGCAGTTTTAAATTGGATGATACAACGTACGAAAAATGTGACATAATATAATAAACTGCGGGAGGTTTTTTTTATGTATGAAATGTTCACAATTTTTAATTTGAAGCTTTGGACTACGTTTTTCTATCTTCAAAATACTACATTTATTAGTTCAATGTTTCTTTTAAAAAATTAAAAAAAAATTTTTTTTTTAAAATTGCCACTGGTGTTATTCTTTCTGTAAATTATAATAATCACACTTGTCACGTGCATATCACATTATGCTGTTTTCACATTTGGCTTGGTAATTTATGTATTTTTTTTAAGTTTTCCAATATTTAAGTATTCAAATTCCTATTTTTTTTAGGATAGTACATTATGTAAATGTAATTCTTCCCTCGTTCGAAACATTGTCTATTAAATCAGGTCTTAGGAGAATGAATCTTCTTAACTGTAAAACAGTGTCGAAGTATTCATCAATACATGAGAACTTTAATTGCTCAAATGACAATCAAGCATTGTTCTATTGACCTTTTTCATCACAACTATAGGTGAAGGAGGAGAGAAACTTCGTAAGCGCAACAATGATAGTTTTTTCTTCAGAGAAATAAAAAATATGTATAAAGTAGATGAAAGCATTGGTTGCATAACAGTAGAATTACCAACAGGTGAAAAAGGAACTGGAACTGGGTTTAGAGTTGGAGAAAAGTATGTGATGACCGCGTACCACGTTGTGCAGGAAATATATGGTAATGAATGTTAAATCAAATTTTAGTCAAACATTTATGCACAGAACTTATGAGTATTTGTGATTTGTCTAACAAAAGAAGTCAAAATTGGCTTATCAGCTTCGATTTATAAACACTTTGTTCAACTAAAATAAACTGCTTTTTGCTCTACATGTACAACAAAATTTTGAAATTGATATTATTTTATTTTTAAAATGATGATGATGATGATGATGATGATGATGATATATATATATATATATATATATATATATATATATATATATATATATATATATATATATATATATATATATATAGAAAACTTCTGGAGGGAAATGTATAGAAGACACAAGGTTGGAGATAACAAATTGAAGCCTGAAGATGGACCATGGATTCTTACGGATTTTATAACTTCTCTGTCTCTAGACCTTGATACACAAAGTATGCTTTAATTCGTATGACTTTCCTATATTCAGTTTTCTTCTTTTGTTCAATAAAAATGTTCAAAATCAGCCATAGGACTGATGTAGTGCAAGACTATTGTCTGTAACTAAATGACTACCCTAAAAATTCAAAGAGATAAATAGGTAATCATCAAATGATATTAATTCTGTTTATAATAAGTTTTTTTTATCATCTACTGTTTTTGTCATATGTCCATGATGTCATTATCAACTTTATGAAAACCACATTGATACATGTAACTAAACAGCTTGACATGGCTTGTTTCTACATGTATAGATCTATATCATCTTTTGTCGAATAAAGAACATGTGTTATTTTGTAATCTTATTTGATATCAATGTACTAAAATTTAGAAATGCAACTTTCTTGACATTTTTTTTAATGTAATACACATTCTGATTCGTTATATAAAATCAGGATTTCAAAGACTATAATTTAGACACAATCGGGTTCTAAACCTTTACATATATAAGAAAGCTAATTGACACAAGGATTCAAGATTACTTTAACAAGGTTTGAAGCAGCTTTATGGATGGGTAGTTTCTTTTGCTGATAAGCAATTGATCAAATACTATATGGAATTAATACAATTATTACGGTAATGAATAATAAGAGATATTTAGAACACATCTTCAGTAAATCGCGGACTCTTGTCATAGCTGTATAGTTATCGACAAATGAAATTAGTTTATGCAGTGTTTTACAATATTTCAGATCTGTGGAGAATAGGAAGTCAATTTAAATATTATCATTTTAGTGAATCTGAAACATATTGGAGAGGAGATGATAAAACACAACTGTAGTATCACTTTCGGATATGTTGGAGAGGAAAGAGGAAACACTTTTTCATTTGGCTATGACGCACCTTTTATCTCAACAAAACATGACATAGCGATACTGGAACTCAACAAAGATTCAAATTTCCCATTCCCAGCCAAACTTAACGTAGCCGAGGTCAATATACAGATTGAACGCTTACATGTTTTAGGACATCCTGAAGGCAATGAGTTGACATTTGATCCCTCGTGCAGCGTAATTTGCAATCAAAGCGACCTTGATAGAACCAAAGAAAGAGCAATTGAGCATTTCACCTCCCTAGGTGAAGAAAAATCAAATGTTGAAAAAGAGTATAAGGAGTGTGAAATTTCATCAGATCATATCCTTTTTCATTGTTCTGAGGGCACTGCTCATGGTGCTTCAGGGTCGCCCTTATTTCCACTTGCTAAGAAAAATCGGAAGCTCGAGGTAATAGGCATGCTTTTAAAGGGATATCCAAAGTTGTACTACAACAAGTATAGGAACATCGATAAAGCTAACAAACACCCAGAGTTATTGATAGAGTCAGGAATAACTGTGGAAATGTTGAAGTCTTTATTAAAGCAACATAAACTCTTTGAACTTGCTAATGATATTTTTGATCAATTTGACGTAAAAAGTTGATGTGTCATACAAATGTATAACGGGTAATTTCTGCTGCTCGAAACTTTTGCGATGTGGTCCCTCAAATCTTACACTTCTTTGATGTCATGTAAATAAATATATTTTGCTTTCTTGTTCGCGACAAATAAATGTTGCATATTGAAGATTTTATTATTGTAAATTCATATTCTTTTAAATACCTAAGGTCTAGAACAAAAAATGAATAAGTAAAAAAAGCCAGATTTACATTACATGTTTGATTTAAATGAAAATAAATAGCAAATCATTAATTTTCAACATTCTTTGAACACCAACTGCCATTTTTTTTTTCATCAATAACACATTTTTTTTCATTGTGGGAATATGTTGACCTAAAATTGTTTATATGGAATTGAAAACAGAAATCTGCATGTATTTTTTTTATTTCCCTAAAGATTTTCTCTAACCCGCATCTCCCTTATACCTTTGAATGAAATTAAATGAGATTTTAACTCAGTTCTATCACTGTGCACCTCCTAATTTAATAACAATAATACTTTATTTAAAGAGGGTAACTCAATTAGTGCGAGTAATATTCTTCCTTGAGGCCCTCTATAAAATTACAATAATATGCAATGATAAATAATACATTCGACAGTGATATAACATAATATACATTAACAATACATGCAATATTAAATGAATGATACAGTCCGCAGATATACAATTTTAAAATTTAAGTTGATCCTTGGTCTATTATAAATTTTCTTGTCTTGATTCTTAAATTTTGAAGTGTTGGGCACATTTTTACATTTAGAGGTAAATTGTTCCACAATACTGCACCCGGATATTGAAAAGAATTTTGAAATATTTTATTTTTTGTGTTTTGGAACACACAAATCAAAATTAGATTCAGATCTTAGGTGGTAGGAATTGGATGATTGGTAATTGAGTGAATTATCAATATGAATTCCAAGTAGTTTTTCATGTGTGACACTCTCAAGAAAGTGGTCTGAAATTTGTAAATTTAGATTTTGGCTCGTCAGATTTGACCGTATTTGATGTGTCCCTAACAACATACATTTTGTTTTACCAGTGTTCAAAATCATCTGATTCTGAGAGCACCATGTTTCTATATTTTTTAAGTCAGAGGATAACATATTTTGAATGGAAGAAACATCACTGTCAGAAACGTGTGGAGTAGCATCATCAGCAAATAAGTCAATGCTTGAATTTTCAGTGAACAATGGGAGATCATTAATGTAAAATAAGAAGAGAAGTGGACCTAAAATTGATCCCTGTGGCACTCCCGTTGTGACTAACTGTTTTTCAGATCTTATATTTCCAAGTTGGACACTCTGAAATCTACAGTTTAAATATGAGTCAAACCATTGTACTGCTTTGGGGTCAAAATTGTAGCAACGAAGTTATTTAATCAGAATATCATGATTCACTAGATCAAAAGACTTGCTGAAATCAAGAAAGGTTATGCCGACAAGTTTACCATTATCCATTGCTTGTAACCATTCATCAATAAGTTTAGTCTCTGAAACCTGATTGTGATTTGCTTAGTAAATCAAAATCTGATAAGTATTTACGGATATGATTATCGACATGTTTTTCAATTATTTTTGACAATGTGGGGAGGATAGATATTGGCCTATAATTACCAGGATCAAGTCTATCTCCTTTCTTGTATATGGGCGTTACCTTTGAAAATTTTAGTTCATTTGGAAATATTCCTGTAGAGATACTGACATTGATTAAATGAGTGACAGATTTGTATATGACTGGTGCAGCATGTTTTAGTAGCTATAGACGTGGATCTATGGTATCGATACCAGTCGATTTATTTACATCAAGTTTGTTCAATAATGCTAACACGTCATTTTCACGTGTAAGTGGAATACTAAATTTATCATCTACTATATATATATATATATATATATATATATATATATATATATATATATATATATATATATATATATATATATATATATATATATTCTTTAACTAGTTCTATATGCAGGCTCCGGGGGGGGGGGGAGGGGAGGGGGCGGCCCCCCACTTTTTTCTAAGTAGATTTTTTGCTATAGCTCCCAAACAGAAAAAAACAGCCTGTGGGATCATGCTAATGACTCGTGTGTAAATCATGGTTTTGATATGATTTCGGTGTAGGAAAATTTCACATGCAAATGAGCTAATGGATCATGATTCTTGGATGATCTGTTAAACTAAACAACTTGCAAGAAAACCATGATCCTGGTATGATCTGTAGTAGCTAACAACTCGTATTAAAACCATGGTCCTGGTATGATCTGTTGTAGCTAACAACTCGTATTAAAATCATGATCCTAGTATGATCTGTTAAAGCTAACAACTCACAGGACAATTATACATTCTTATACAATTTAACTGAACACTTTAAAATTTGCAACAAACATCCCTTTAATATTTGATATACAATTTCAGTTACCAAAAATTAAAAAAATATATATACATATATGTCACATGAACTATATCATCATGCAAATATAATCCGAACAATGGATCTTCCTTAATCAGATGACAATTTAAAAAAAAAAAAAACATTTAATCCAATCTATTCAAATTTTAAAATAGAATAACAGAAATCCTTTCTTCTTAAAGAATAATATGGCATTTATTAACGTCACTGCTTATTTATGATTCTGCAAAAAGCATGTAATTACAACATATGTTCACTATAGGATCAACAGAGTGGTGGATCTATTATTTAGAATCACAAACACTGAAAAGGCTCCAAAATACTCTGTCTTCGGATATAAGCTCTTAATTGCTTTGTATAACACAACCTGAAAAGAAAAGTAGAGAAAATGCTGTTTATTCATCGATCTACATATAATTATCTTTAGATGATGAAAATATGAAATATTCAAGTACTTTCCCAATTTCATTAATGAAAAGAATTAGATTAAACACATGAGAATAATATTGTTGAAATGTAATATTATTAACGTACACAAATTTTGCCTTCACCAAAGGCGGGTGTTTCGAATGTGGCAATTGGAATGAAATTCAAATATGTTGATCATGTAGATGAGACTGACAACTAGCTGCAAAAATTTTATTTTTAATCAACATTTTATATAATGATTAACATTACACATATACAACGAATACATGAATCAAGGAGGTAAACTTGATGCTTAAATTAAGTTTTCAATTCAAATCCATGTAACGCTTTGTCTCTTCTACACGTATACAAAGAAAAATTCAATCATGTACTGGTAGAAGCTAGAAAAGTCTTTAAAAAAGATCTATGATAAAGGAATTATACTCACCGAGCAGAGTTAATGGTCCAGCGCTTATTTTTGTTGCTTATATGATGCAAAGGCTTTTCTTTTAAATCGGCAACAAAAAAAACGCGCACATCTTGTTTATCAGAATTCAAATTTTGGCCTAGATAAGCTGCAAACCGCTATACACTACAACGTGCTGCCCAGCAGGAGAAATGCATAAAAAGGTTACTATGACTCTGAAACTGACCAGTGAGCCAATCCTTATCTAATGCCTTAGAGTTAAATTGGGAGTGGATCACAAATATTATATGGGTGAAGACAAAGATTTTTAAAAATCCAGGCTTTTAAAAATCCAGGCTGCGTTATTTAAACAGTGTGCTAATTTATTTATTAATAATTGTATTTATTTATTTGTTATTTCATTCTACTTTTTTTTTAAAAATATTTTTTTGTCTTCAGTGAACTTTGTACCTACCTGTATGATTTTTTTAAAAATTATTAAAACTTAATTTCCCTGTTCTTTTTTAAATATGGCTATTATTGATGTATGCATGTTGTTTGATTCTCCAAGCTGGAGTGAATTTAGAGCTTGCATTTTCACCTATCATAAATGACAAAGTTAACAAACCATATCAGGATCATACAACCAATTCTGACAAAGTAAACAAATCATATAAAACTCATGATTCTTAACAGAGAAGTTAACAAATCATGTGTGACTCGTATGGAGTTTAAAGACAAAGTTAAGAAATCATATCAAAATCACAAACTTTTAGCAGTTAAAGTTAACGAATCATTTCAAACTCATATTCCTTTGTTTTCTACGTTAATGGCACATCCCGTATGAAATTTAGAGGCGTATTACGCCTGGACTTTTTGCAAATCCTGGCGTACAAGAGACGTATTCTTAAAAATACGGTTCATTTTCAGGCGTACACGTATTTTTGCAAGAAATACGTCTCTTTTTCTCCTGGCGTAAATTCTTAATCCAGGCGTATTTTTTTCTTAGTCTCTTTCGCATAGGGAAATAAAAACTTAGAAAATTTCAAAAGGCGTATTTTTGGAAATCCTGGTGGATTTTCTGACTTAGTCCTTATTATTAAGAGAGCTAGATAAAAATTTTACTTAGACAACTTCATTCTCCTTTATGTAACTATTGAGTTGCTTTTATGATACTTGTATTAAAATTAACCCCCAATAAAGTATTTACTCCACATGTAAACATTGATTACATTACAATATTGCCTTTGTTGTATTCATTGTATTTATTAAAGCAATTAATTTTAGTAAATTATACTATTTAATCTTAGATTACTGTGCCATTGATTCCCAAATAAAAAAAAAATGTTTAATATTATTTCTCTTAACTAAGATGATTTTATTTCTAACAAACTTAGTATATTCTTTCATGAATGTTTTAGTGGCTTAATATAAAATAGCATTTAATTAAATGAATATTTAAGTCCTTAGTTTTAACAAATACAAATATTTTATTGGCACAAACACAATTACAGTAATTGGTAAAGGCCCATACAGAACATATTAATAAGCATAATAATACAGTAGAACACAACTAGAATACAAACAATCGGTGTAGCAAATAATGTAGTGTACTCATCCGATACTAAATAATTCATAACAATGTAGTTACTCATTTATAGCTAAAACATTTTTCTAATATCAGATATTTGACATAAAAATGAAGATAATATTTTAAGAACCCTTTTACACCTGGTTTTCATCAATGATTTTAACAAATTGTCATTATTATGGATTGTTTGGTTGAAATTAGGGAAAGTAGATAATTTTGTTTTGAATACTTTTCTCTGTGCTTCATATTTCGGACAGAGCAAAATGAAATGCTTTTCATCCTCAATATCAAGGTTTTGACAAACTTTACACAACCTATCATTTTTATTAATTTCAACATATCTACCTTTTTCAATTTCTAAATTATGTGCAC